ATATTTTATAAAATATAACTATTAGCGATTTTTAAGCTTACCCCCTAATTATTATTTTAGTTTAATTTAACTATTATTTTAGCCCCTTTTATTTTAATAATTTTACTTTAAAATCTATTATACCTATATTTTAATTTATTTAAAACTTTATTAAAGGTAACGCCTTATATATTTATATTTAATTTCCGCTAATTATTATATATAATATTACTGTTTATAAAATATAAGGTAATATTTTTAAATATATAGTTATTAATACCTTATAGTATAATTTTTTAGTAAGCCTAATATATATTATAATATTTTAGGTAAAAATACTTTAAGGTTTTATATTTAATACTGCTTTTAACTTTTTAGATATTTACAGTAATATTAATCTAGCTAATAATCTTTAAGTAGTTAATTAAGTTTAATAGGTTTTTTAATTATTATTACCCTTTACCCTTTTAATTATTACAGATATTTAATATTATTAATTTTATTTTACTATTAATAAATCTTAATAAAATCTTTTATTATTATTATTATTTCTTTTAGTTATTAACTTTAATTAATATTTAATTTAAATAGCTTTATTTTGCTTTTAATATAATATTTATTACCTAGTTTTCCTTTTACTTAACTTTACTTTCTATTTTTATAAAATATCCTTTCCAGTATAATGCCTTATAACCTTAGTTATTCTTTTCCTTTTTAATAATAGCTAAACGTTAAGTATTAGGCTTAATTTAGTAATTTAAAGGGGGTAGTAGCCTTTAGTTACTATATTAAATATATATATATCTACCTTTTATATATAAGATATTTAATAAAATAGCTAAAGTAATAATACTACTCTATAGTAAGCTGCTTAACTTTTATAATTTTTACTTTTTTAAAGTAGTATTATAGTTAGAAAAAAAACTATATATTTTTTTTTTATATAATAACTAAATATTATAAGCTAGGTAATTAAGGTTTAATAATCTAGCCTATAGTATAATAAAGCTTTTATATATAGAGTTTTTACTATTATATAGCTTTAATTATTTTTTTTATTTATTAATTTACTTTAAGATTAATATTATATATAAAAAATCACTATATATTTTAAATATAATATTTTAATAGATTACTAAACTCCTGCGTTATAATATATTTAAAAGCGTTTATTTATATAAGGATATTTTTAATTCTGCTAATTTAATTAATCTACCTTACTTATTATTTATTTAAATAGAAAGGTGCCTTTAAGGTTATTTATTTAATTTATATAAAATGTTATTTTTTAAGGGGGCTAAAAAAAATAATATTTTTAATAATAATTTTTATATAAAGAGATAAAGTAAAATAGAAAAATAATTATTTTAGTATAGGAAAGCTATAAAAAGGAATAAAATATTAAATATTGCTAGTATAGATTATATAATTATATATATACTGCTTAAAGGAAGCTATTATAATAAAGCTTAAAGGAAGTTATTATAATAATACTGCTTTAGGTAAATAATAAAATTTTTAGTGTTTTTTTTTATTATATTTTACTATTTAGCTTTCTGTCTATATAACTTTAATATACTGCTTTATAATATATATAAAATATATAGTTATTTAATAAATATATATTTAAAGGGTATTAAATATTTTATATATTTATATATTAAAAAAGGATAAATAAAACTAGTTTTTTATTTTTTTCTTTTTCTTTTATTATTATAATTTTTATTTTTATTATTATTATTATTATTATAATTAATATTTTTATTATTATTATTATATTTTTTTAAAAACCCACTGGTCTTAAAAGTAAAGTTAAAGTTAAGGTTTTTACTAGTGGTGTAGTGCGTTTTTTTTTATTTTTTTTATTTATTCTCTTTTATTTTCTTATATATTAATTAACTTTTAGTAAAAGTTATTAAAGAAAGTAGCGCCTACTAATCCTAAAGGTAAAAGTAAAAGTAAAAATAAGGCTAAAACTATTAACAGTAATAATAAGAATAATAAGAATAATAGAAATAACGGGAACAATGTTAATAACCTTAATAACCCTAATAACAGCAGTAACGGTAAAAATGGTAAAAACGGTAATAACTCCTTATCTAAAGAAAGAGGCCTAATACTAAAAGATCCACTATATAAAAGTTATATTTAAAGTATAATAATAAATAAAAAAGCAACCTCATTTAACTAATATATAGATTTAACTTTTTACTTTAATTAATATTTACTTTACTATAATAGCAGTTATATATACTTTCTTTAATAAGCTTACCTTTTTTTTATTATATTACTTTTAGCTAATCTTATATTATAATTATCTTCTACTATTACCCTTTATATAAAAGATAAGCTATATTATTAATAAAAATAATAAAAAAGTAATTCTTTTTTTCTAACTTCCTATATTTTATATATATATTAATAAAAAAAAGTAATAAATTAATACTGTATAGCTTTTTACTTAATGCTTAAAATAATTAATAATAATAATCTAGCGTTTAAATTGTTAAATAGCGATAATAATAATAGTAAAGATAGACTGGTTATATATAAAGATATTTATAAAGCTTAAAAGACTATTGTTAACTATATATTCTATTAATAGGCGCTAGTGTTAAGGGGAGAAATATACAGTATTATAATAGTTGTTTTTATTATTTAGTTATTTTTTTTTTTAATTTAATTATTAAATTAAAAATTATATATAGAAAAAGAAGATACAGTTATGAATTTAACTTATATTATAAGGCTATTTTAAGCGTTATAATAGTATATGTATGGAATATCTATTATCTGAGTGTAATAGGGCGTCTAAGCCGCTGCGCTTTTTTGCGCAGCAGCTTTGCTTGCCCCTATGAACGCCTTAGCGGGCATCACACTTATAGGATGCCCTCTTCCACTCCATGACCTACGGGGCCTAGAAGCAGTCTACTAACCCCAAGGTTATCGGTGCCCAGAACCTTCACTCCATTCTAGCCAACACTCCTCCTAACTTCTTCGTCATGACCTCTTCCGTCTCAGGTATCCTGAGTACTCCCAGCCAGGGCAAATATGCTGCTGCCAACGCCTACCTCGACTCCTTTGCCCGCTTCCGCCACACTCGATCTAAGGCTCCCGCCACCTCCGTCGTCCTTCCTATGGTTCTCGTTGTTGGTATCGTTGCCGAGAACGTTGAGCTTGAAGATGCCCTCAAGCGCAAGGGTATGTACGGTGTTGATGAGGAGCACTTGCTCCAATCCTTCGAGGCTGCCATGATGTTCAACACTCTGGAGACTGTTCCCGAACACGTTGTTGTTGGTCTTGACCCTGCTCCTCTGCAGAAGGCAGTCAACGATACCGCTGCTGTCGACAGCTTCAGGCTCGAGGATGCCCGCTTCAGCCACATAGTCCACGGCATCAACTCCTATGCTGATGATGCCGCTGGTATTGACTCCATGATTGGTGCTGAGTTGCGAAACTGGATCTTCAAAGAATACATGATTGATGTGCCTTTCCAGCAGTTGCTTGGTCCTAGGTACTCTGATAACATGACGATAGAGCAATTCCCTTTTCATCTCTCTAATTTATAGATAGTAAGATTAATAGCTTTTGAGAAAAAGCATTTTTTTTAAAAAAAGGGGAAGAAATGTAAAAAATAATTAGAAGTCCTTTGCTTAAAGGAAGTGATGGGGATTTTCCCCCGTCGTACAGCGATAAAATGACAACATTGGAAGGCAAGAACCCCTAATGTTTGCTTCTCAGAACATAACAAAAATTCATAATTATATTCTATTATTCCTTAACTTCAACTTTCTGCCATAGTGTATCTGGCAGATTATTCCGATCAACATCAAAGATATGCGGTAAAACCGTCGGCAGCGCTTCTGACCGCAATTCCGGGAAATCTCTCTTGATCACTGCTAGTAGTTCTTCATACCATATCCTGTAACCTTTGCCAGTGAGGTGAACACCATCTGTCAATAGTTCTTTCAATACTGTTCCACCCGTGCCTGATAAACCTGGTACTGGCTGACCTTTCTTCCATCCAACCTGCGCCATCATTGTATGCCACATGTCGATGAACGGTACACCACAGCGGATTGCCACGTCTTTCGCTGCCTCTGAGTATTTCAGGTTGTGCATCACTCTGTTATAGACCGGAGGCTCCAACATGTTTTCATCCACAGGGCCTGGTCCCACCACTATGACTCTCTCAACGCCGGATTTCCGTGCCTGTTCCACAATCCTCTCGAGATTCTCGCTATATGTTTCCACCGGCACGGTTTGTATGTCGCGCTCTGCAGCATCATTTGTGCCAATTTCAACCACCAAGAGCTTGATTTTTTCTCCAGCTGCAGTCTCTGCGCGCAACGTAGGCAGCAAGACGTGTTTTAGATGCATTGAGCTGTAGCCTCCATATCCACGCGCAACCACGGAGAGCTTTCGGAAATAATAATGCTGCAAAGCGGGTGTGAGAGCAAAGGAAAGCGAGTGAATATCACTGCTGAGTTCTGTGAGGGAGTCCCCAATAATGAGGATCTTGTCGTGCGTAACGCGGCGGATAGCCAAAGCTGATGGCTCGTTATTTTCGCCAACTGCCATTTTCTTATTTGGTTTGCGAGACTTGGTTGCTCAGCGTCACAGTTGGGAGTCGCCAATGAGCGCGGATATTCGTTTTTGAGGGCGATTATGCGTATTAAAACATTTCAGATGATAGAAAGAATATCCTTCGCTTCGGGATAATTCTTGGTAATATACTCGGCAAGATACTTGATATTTGAAGTGATTGAATGGCGGGGCAGCTCCACATCGAACAATGAAATACTCAGGCTATCAAACTAATTCACTTTTTTCGTATTTAATTCAAAGGTGATTTTAAAAATCTAGTATTTGATGTTTTTTTATTTATTCAACTTCAGGCATATTTGTCTCGAGTCAACTAAGGCTTGACAAGCCATTTTCAAATACTTGGTAAAGCGGAGAGTAATCTAGTTCCTTAGTGTACTCAATCACCAACTTTCTCCAATTATTGTACCAGCTCCCAGAGATGGGATTCTTTATCATCTGCTCAACTCAAGGCCAGCGGTACATCATGGTTTGTTCTCAAGGCTGAACCAATCAAGCCTTAAAGTAAGCGCTATTGAGAAGTTCCCGATGGCGAGCAGCCCATCCAAGTCTTAAATCTTGGGCTTATTGTTAACCCTATGCGACGCCCGTGGCAGTGGATTATATGTGCTTATGTACTCTGTACATTTACTATCATGGAGTTTTTTTGTCTGTCAGCGGGCGGGGCAAAACAAAGGCAGAGATGGCTTCTGATAATAGGCGATCAGAATTTGACCAGTAAGCGCTTCCCTAAACGTTACGCAACATGAAACAGGTTCCCTTGCCTTACTCCAGCGGCCGAAGCCTCAAGCCACTCAGCAGCTTGTTTAAGAGTATTTTGAGACATTACATACAGATATTAATTACAATTGTTGGTCCAAGCCTATTGTTGCTTTGGTGGCCAAGAGTTCGGTGTTTCGTACAAACGTCCGCCCGAAATTCATCCTTCACAAGCTGACGACTACAAACCTCGGCTACCGCTCTCAAAAAGGTGCTACTTGCATTGCGTTTGCAAGAGTTAACACGGGGTATCACACAGTTAGCAGATAGAACAGACATCTTCCGGCTTGAACAGCTTCGTTAAGCCTCCACGTTCGTGCCATCCCCGCATCTACGGCGGGCAATGTTTAGCCCCAGCATGTGAAGATCGCACTAGCAGAACACATGACTGTGCATCAATTCGAACAAAGGGGGGAAATGAGCATTTCGTTGCCTAAAGAGGAAAGGAAAAGATTTGCGACGGCCTCTCGATAAGATCCGAGCCCCGTTCATCGAGACAACGTCATCTCTTCCGTTGAAGCCTGTAACGGGTTACAGTGAGGCACAAGCACCATCCAGGAATTGTCTGTCGCTAGTCGCGAGGGATAGACTAGGGTGTCTCAGTATGGCGCCATGTGCCATGTAACAAATCGCGGGTTAACCATTGGAGTCTGGGGCATTGCAAGGGCATGGTTAGTGCGTGCGGAGACACGGCTGTTATGGGAGCACCAAACGGGACCGGACGAGGTAGAGGGGTCCGTCTTTAGCGATCGAGTTGATCCGTCTCTCCTCTCCTGCTGCCATTACGTGTGTGTAGCGTCCTGTAGTGATCCCCGATGGCTCCGTATATAGCCGCTCCATGACCACTTTTGTTCTGTCATAGCTGAAAGAATGTTCGATAGCCGAGGGTGTCAGTCCTTCGTTTTTAATTTTCTCAGTATTCATCGTTGACTCATTCACCATTCGCCCAATCCATATGCCCCTTCATTGACATTGTCAAGATGCAATTGTCTCTGGCAGCGGGCATCGTCGCCGCGGCGTTGGCTTTCGTCTATGTCTTGAACCTGATCCTCGCGAGCCTCCGATACAGAGCCAGGGCTAGGGAGCTGGGATGCAAGCCTGCTGTGTGGATGTCGGGATATGACCCGACAGGTATTGCCGATATTGCCTATGGCGTGGACGCGAGCCGCAAAAAGCGATTCCCCATCTATGCTCAGAATAATTTTGAGCGCGAAGAGAAGAAGCACGGCCGTCCAGTTGGCACGCTGCGCGTTAAGGCGCCCTTCTTCCGAGACACTCTGGTGACGACTGATCCTCAAAACATCCAGACCATCCTTGCACTGAAATTCAAGGACTTTGGCCTGGGTGTGAACCGGACTGAGAACTTTGAACCATTGTTGGGACACGGCATTGTAAGTCTTGATTGCGGATAACTGTTTCCCGACGAAACTTGCTGACTGCCTTTGTGTGCCAGTTCGCCACGAACGGCAAGCAATGGGAGCACTCTAGGGCATTGCTGCGTCCGCAGTTCATCCGTGGCCAGGTGAGCGACCTCAACCTAGAGGAAGAGCATGTCAAGGCTCTGATGACGGTGCTCGATCGCCGAGTTGGTCTGGATGGCTGGACCGATCTGGTGGACCTTCTGCCTCTATTCTTCCGGCTCACACTCGATTCCGCAACCGAGTTCCTCTTTGGAGAGAGTGTCAACAGTCAACTTGATGAAAATCACCCCACTTCTGAAAAAGATGGCAACTTCGCATATGCTTTTGATAAGGCACAGTATAACCTATCCATTGGGGCTCGTCTTGGACCCAATTACTGGATCGTTCACACTCCCGAGTTTCAACGTATGGTTAAAAGGGTACACGAATATGTCGACTACTTTGTTCAAAAGGCTCTCATCCAGGGTGAGAAAATGCCTGTGAATGAAGACAAATACGTCTTTCTCAATGCACTCGCCAAAGAAACCCGGGATCCTGAAGAGCTGCGATCCCAACTTCTCAACATCTTGCTTGCCGGTCGAGACACCACTGCGTCTACGCTAGGATGGTTCTTCTACACCATGGCGGATCCCATGTATGCGCCCGTCTACCGACGATTGCGAGCTACCATTTTGGAAGAGTTTGGAACATATTCGAATCCCAAAGAGATCACATTTGAGAAGATGAAGGGCTGCCAATATCTGCAGTGGTGCCTGAACGAGTGTCTACGCCTCTATCCCGCAGTCCCTATGAATGTTCGTACTGCAGAAGTAGACACGACACTGCCCACTGGCGGTGGCCCAGATGGACAGTCCCCGATTTACGTGCAAAAGGGCCAGGATGTTGGTTACTCGGTAGGCAACAACAGAGATCTTGATACACCCAAGCCTCAATCTAATATGCTAATATGATCGTCTAGGTTCACCTGATGCACCGCCGTAAGGACATCTGGGGTCCTGATGCCGAGATCTTCAAGCCCGAGAGATGGCAGACGCGCAGGCCAGGCTGGGATTATCTTCCATTCAATGGAGGTCCGAGAATCTGCATCGGCCAGCAATTTGCACTAACTGAAGTTGGCTATGTCGTGATCCGAATGATGCAACGCATTGACAGCATCGATGGATCACAAGTTGGCCCAATCAAACACGGTCTGACTTTGACCAATTGCCCTGGTGAGGGAGTAAACGTCAAGCTGCATTTTGCCGAGTAAATAATATTAAAATCACACAAAATGTCTGTTTTATTATTGTTGTTATTTTTTTTTCCCCCGCTCAGTCATTTTTTGACCGTATCTGCAATGGTGAAATGGAAGAGTGAAACAGCAGGATGAGTTTGCCAACCGGGGGATTATCAGTGGTAGAGCGAGCATTAACTGCATCATCCAGCAAATGTATCAATAGCGAATTGCAGCAGAATTGATTAACGATTAACGACGTCTTATCATTCTCCAATCTCTCTATGTCTGACACACATACCCTCTCTCCTTTAGCCTAGGTTAACTTCCATGAGAATAGTGTTCCCAGCAGCACTGCCTGCGAAATCGCATGAAGAAACTAGGTTGCATCTATTAGTTATTCTCTCTCGATAAATACAAGGGTGGGCCGTAAAATGTCGTAAGCAATCTACGCCTAATGTCGCTTAGAGAGTAAGTGAGCTGGGAACTCTTCTTGCTGGATGAATTGTAGCAAGTGTGTTAGGTCAACTGTTTGAGTATTCATCTACTTGAAAAAAAAAAAAAAAAAAAAACCCTCCCAAAAAAATTCATTTGTATAAATTACATAAACTGACAAACTGGGAGCGTAGTAACCTCTAACGTTAATCCTGAATAACTTATGAATGAAATCAACAAATGCAATGTATGTAGAAATAACACACACTGTCCAAATGATGTGGAACACTCGGGAATAATATCAGGACTATAAATTGTCCGTTAAGTGTGCCTCTGTGTTAATTATTGCCACACCATTTCGCCGTTTGGCGTATGTACGGAGTACCTGGACTCATAATTCTCCGACTTGGCGATTGCGGCAGGGTTATGCTGTGTAGTACCAGCTTCCTCTGGGATTTAAGCTTGGATCTAAATTCTAAGACACACGATCTACAGACAAGAAATCGCGGGGAAGCCATGTGCCAAAGCAATTAGGCAAATTCAGTTCTCAGCCGTTGTAAACCAGCCGCCATCCGAAACTACTCCTTAGTTATTCACTGGCTCGAGCATCATACTGTCTGTTATTGTGATACGAGGTGAAAATGGCGCAAAGGTTCCTCAAGTGATCCAATTATCTTTCCGTCTAGCTTGTGTTGCCTCTGTTTGGGGAACATACATACTTTATACTAGCATAAAGTGGACTGCTTGGCTGTGCTGTGGCGTGAGCCGTACTCCGGCTGGCGTGGAGCTTTCTCGCCTTCGCGTTACTGTTTTCACTTCGCATGTGATTGCTTGCCGATAAAGGAGCTGTCATGTAAGCTTAGCCAGGGGAACTGGCTGATCCTTGTCTGTCTAGGAAATTCCTTTCTCGTGGTATTTTAGGAAGCCGGACCTACATCTAATGTGCCACTTCATCAATGGCAGCAAGCATTGACGGACATTCCATCAACCCATTATTATGCTACGGGGAGATAATAGTTAGAGTAACTCAGCTCCTCCGCTAAATGAAAACTCCTCAATGGCGGAAATGGTTGAAACGCTTTCGTTGGCCTATGCAAGCGGGGGCGGTCCACCGCGATCGGCCGGGCTGATCGCCTCGTCCTGGTGCTGTTTATTGCAGATCGCCAAAAGGCCTCACTAAGCTGTTTGACCTTTTGATCAATATGCTCATGTCAGATGAGGATCTCCGATACTGCAGTGTGTGGAATAGAGTTCAAACGTGCTGATTCAAGCTTGAGTTAGTTCCGGACCCTTGGCAGCACCACCATTTCCAGATAGCTGGAATGCCAGAAAATATACAGCTCCTTCTGAATCGGTCTCCTGTTGAATAAAACCAAGCTTAATGATCCAAGGCTGAGCTGAGGCCGGGACTGTCCAATATTCGCCGACAGCACGCCCATGGGATTAGATCTCTCGCTGTAAAACACACATATAGTGTCTGTACTGTATTATTTTAAGGCATCAGCTTTGGCCGCCTCCACAGGCTCCACGACCTCCACGTCTTGGCCACTGCGCTTGTTGCTAGCAGGTTATAGGATGACTTCCGAACTGACTCGCAAAAGTTCAGGTATAGCCTTGCAGCCAACTGCCAAATTAGGCCGTTCAATGAGGCGCTGCAGCATCGTAAAATCCTACAAGTAGTTTCGAATGTCTATCAAAGTAACCTCAGGTCGTCTTATGCATTCCGACCTTCTCTTCTTATACTAACCTCCTAATATTCGCGACGACAAAAGGACTCTTGTTATATCTCGTATATGTTTTATCGTGTCTGTTTCTTGTTGGAAGTTTTCCTTGTCGATCCCCCTAAAGACAGAAGATAAATAAAGGCGACAATCTCGCCTAGAGACAAGGTAATTAGAGATCGTTCAACGCAGCATCACGAGAACTCCTTCTGATCACTTATTATTTATTCAGCCGAATATCTTTCTTGGACGGCATTCTTGTTTCTTCAAAACACTTCACAATGCAGCCCGTCTCCTTTGGTAGTTTCCTCGTCACATTCCTGACGGCCTCTTTGGCAGCAGGTAGTGCTCTTCCCAACACGGTTTCTAGCCCTGGCTCTTTCGAGATCAAGAGAACCCCCAACAAAGGCTTTACAGGCCGCAACGGCCCTCTTGCTTTAGCCCGCGCCTACGTCAAGTATGGAGTTCCAGTCTCCAAATCATTGGTCGAGGCTATTGATCTCGTCAAATCCGCTCAGCTCATCAAGCGCAGCAACGGCAATGTCACTGCTACGCCTGATGGTGACGACCTCCAATATCTGGTTCCTGTACAAATCGGCACTCCTCCTCAGACCCTTCATCTGGATTTTGATACTGGCAGCTCCGACCTCTGGGTTTTCTCTTCCGAAACCGATCCCAGTTCTTCCAAGGGCCATAGCCTCTACAACCCTTCCACGAGCACTTCCTCCAAGAAGGTAGATGGTGCTTCATGGAACATTACTTACGGAGACCAGTCATCATCATCTGGAGATGTCTATACCGATGTCGTCACCGTTGGAAGCCTCACTGTGAATTCACAGGCGGTTGAATCCGCTCAACAAGTCTCGGCTCAATTCGCCCAAGGCAACAATGATGGCCTCGTAGGACTCGCTTTCAGCTCCATCAACACAGTCAAGCCCACTCCCCAGAAGACATGGTTCGACAACATCGCCAGCACTCTTGATGCTCCTCTCTTTGTTGCCGATCTCCGCCACGAGACTCCCGGCAGCTATATTTTCGGCGCCATACCCTCTGCCGCAAGCAACATCCTCTATGCTCCCGTCGACAACAGCAAGGGCTTCTGGCAGTTCAGCACCAGCAGCGACACTGGTGGAGAGTTTGATGCTATTGCCGACACTGGCACGACTCTTATCCTGGCCAGTGACGCTCTCGTCAAGTCCTACTACCAAAAAGTCCAGGGTGCCCACCTAGACGCTCTGCAGGGAGGCTACGTTTTCGGCTGCAACACTACTCTGCCTGATTTCAAATTCGCCGTCGGAGAGGGTGAAATCACTGTTCCCGGAAGTCTAATTAACTACGCTCCGGCCGGCAACAATGAGTGCTTCGGTGGTATCCAGCCTTCTGGTGGCCTGCCGTTTGCCATCTTTGGTGACATTGCTCTTAAGGCTGCTCATGTTGTTTTTGACAGTGGCAAGACTCAGGTTGGCTGGGCACAGAAGAAATAGGCGGTGCGCGTGCTTTATTCCGGATTTTAAAGAGGTATAATTTTGAGGCTTCCGCGAGGGTGGGGTTTGGACAAATGATTTGGATCACACTGAAAGCGAGATGGAGTGTGTTCTCATGCTCTGATGTATATTGCTACATTTTGTCAAGTGGATTTCTTTTCCAGTTCTGTCGATATATGCAATGCCGTATACTAGGAATTATGTACATGTAGTTTTCATATATTGCACCTATGCACCTATTTATTTACATAGTTTTTTTATCTGAAAACAAGCTCTTTGTCGGGTATCAAAGTTGTCAATTTAAGTGTACTATTCCGCGATTCTTGTGTTTTCATCTTCGTAGGCCAAATTATACTGCGATTCGCGGAGCACAACCAGCCATACTCGGTGGATCAATAGTGATTGAATCCATTCTGGCTCTGCTGCCAACGCTGCTGTACTCCACCATTCCACTCATCACCCATTCCTGGCTCTCCTCCAGCTTTCACTTGTGGATTCCCTCCCATATCATAACCCTGTGGTCCACTGGGGCCTCCAGCAGAGGAGCTATAAGGCGCTTGAGTAGTATAGTTTGGGCTACTGGAATTGCTAGGAATTTTGCCCGCCATGTGCCCCGGGTGTTGTGAGAACTGGTGCTGTGGAGGGTGTCCGTGGGCTTGTTGCTGCGCAGACGGCTGATATCCAGGCATAGGCGGGCGCCCAGTCGTGTTATTTGACCATTCTTCAGCTGCTTGTCTTTGAATTGAGTTTGGGTTCATATTAACGGGGGCCTGTACTGGTCGTTGCCACGGGAAACTTCCTGCTCTGGGTAGATAGCCTGGAGCCTGAGGCTGGCCATTAGCCATATAAGGATTGGCTGCCCCCCCTCTTGCAAGAGGGTTCCAGTCATCATCCCTCTCATATCGGTCGTGCGCAAGATAGCTATCAGTGTCTCCAAGGCACGCCACACGATACTCGTCGTACCGTCTAGTGGTTTCCTCGACCTTCTTGAAGTGCTTTGAGGTGAGCTGCTTTTGCAGCCCCTCGGGGCGCTCACTCATGTCTCCCTCATAATGGGCCAATGACGCTGCGATGAGAAAAGCGTTGCGTATCTGTCGTCCGTTCCAACGTCCAATACCGTCGGTGTGGTTTCTCCAATGTTCGCTAGCAAAAGCAATGATATCCGCTTCATCGATATATAGTTTATTGTGCCTGGGTGCTTTGGCGGCTTGCTCTTCGATCTCTTTGAGTCGCACAATGTTAAGCTTGAAAATGGCGACAACTTGCTCTTCAGTGAGGAAATTATAATGAAGGTTCAGATGTACTCGCGATTTCACTGCTTCATCAAGAACACCGGGTCGGTTGGTGGTGAGGAAGAGAATACCATTATAGTACTCGAGCATTCGCAAAAAGACTAGAATGGGGAGATATAAACCGTCAGCATTGAGAAGTTTCAATCACGTCTTCTCACAAATATGGTGTAGTGCTTACCGGAAACAAGAGCATTTCTTTCCAAATCCTTCCTATCTCTCTGTGTAATGAAGACGTCCGCCTCATCCAGCAAAAGGACACAGTCCCACAGGTGAGCCAAGCGGAATATCTCGCTCAAAGAGCTTTCTACACTTTCAGGTGTAAATCCCAAGTCTCCACATGTGATGGGGAACAAAGGCTTCTCGAACTTTTGTGCGACCGCTTCAGCAGTGGCCGTTTTACCAACTCCGGGCACACCAAAAAGCAGAATCACGATGCCTTTGCCTTTGCCGCGGATGAGATCTTGGGTTGCAATCTCAACGCTGCTTTCATTCACTCTCTTCTTGAAATGAGAGTAGACCAGAGACTGGATGAGAGTCTTGTGCTCTGTGGAGATTTGAAGGCTATCAAAAGCTCGGTCTTTGTCTTTGAGCTCGGGGAATGACACATCTCGGACGTCGACTTGCACAAACTTGCGTTCCCAAAGAGCATACGCAAAGAGTCGCCTGGGCAAAAGAGCCAGATTATCACCCTCCAATTCACCAATCTCATTCTCGTTGTCCTTTTTCTTCCTCAGCAACAAATCTGTCTCGATAAATTTGTTCATCTGGAGTATATCGACACCGTCCTCAGTGATGACTTTGTCCTCCCATGCGTCTTTAAGGTTCGTGCGCTTGCTATCGTGCCATTCCTGCAATGGGCTCTCATTGTCAACAGATATCACAACTCTGTAAGTAGACGGGTCGACTGCCAGAATCTCGGGTTTCCAGGAGGGGTCTGTGTTGAAGGCCTCTTCAAAATCCACCAGAATCTCACTCTCAATATGTTCTGGGCTTGTCATGACTCTACCATTCTTATCTTCGACAGATTGACCAAGTGGTGTCTTAATAAGAGTCCAACCCCGGTAGAAACTGTATCTCTTGGCCGGATCAATGTGTTGAATGAACTTGCTTCCGTACTGTCTCCCCCTCTCCATTATTTCGTCTTTCTGCTGCACATATCTCATAGGATAGCAGGGAAGCTGAGTAATCTCGCGTTCACCTTCGAAAGAAGGAATCTCGATAGTACGCCCAACTGCGCGATAGTTCTGGCCATCATAATCGATGTGATAGCAGGATATTGACCAAGTGGACTCCATTTTCATGCAAGTTTCGCAGGTACAGCCGTCAATAATTGACTGCTTGAATGGAGCTCGATATATTCTCCATACCATTTGGTCGGTATGTGATCCCCTCGTATTGTGGTTGGACGGTGCTGATGTTGACTCCATCGTGCCATCTCCAAACTCTGCCTGTAGACGCTGAAAGACGCCGTCCCAGCCCATTGGAATTCGCGCTCGAACGCCGCTGTTCAGATTAGGCACATAAACCAGGTCTCCAGGTTTGAAAAGGTACCAAAGAAGATCCCATCTGATCTTGGTAGGAGCAGTGCTCATGTCTTGATCTTGGAAGCGCTGGTATTCTGGCATCACCTGCTCATCGATGAATTTCACATAGAGCTTCATCTCGGTGATAGTATCGGCATCATTGAAGAGGGTGTCAATCCCAAGGGTATCTGCTTCGGACTTTTCTTTGCCCTTTTCTAGATTTGGCTCTTGAGCGGGCTGGCCATTAACAGGCTTTACATCCGCATTTGAAGCCGATTCTTCCAGTTCAGCCAGTGCCTCTTTCATCTGATCATGGAAGTGTATCAGATAACGGAAAGGTCGACGGAAAACATGAGGGCGGCCATTCCATTTCTTCCCAGCTGGACTTTGGCGACCGAGATACATCATGACTGCCCTTGAGTTGATTCGCACTCGTTGCAGCCAAGTTTCGTCCCCATCGTCGATGATAGTCTTGTGCTGCGGATTCCGCCGGCCAAAGCCTCTACGGAATCCACCTCCCCAGCCGCCCATATAATCATAATCTTGAAGGCCCTCATAAAGGAGCGCCGATTCTTCAATCTCCGCTTTGAGGGAATCGCCAGCGACAAGCGTCTCGATAGCGTAGTTATGCTCTTCTATTTGATGGTTCTTAAACTCATCCCATGAAAAACATTCGCGCACCTTTGGAACGACGCGTGAGAATGCTTGCATGGGCTTTGGCTTTGGCTTCTCTGCCTTTTTTTCTGGCACAGTATTACTGGGCGGCGCGGGAGCTTTGATGGACTTCTCTGTTTGCGGCAGTTCAGATTCCTCCTTCTTCGCTTTGGGTTCCTCCTGCTTTGATTCGTCTTTCTTCGCGTCGTCTTGCTTGGCTTTCGCATCTGTTGAAGACCCAGATGTTTCGCCATCGGTGGCGCTATCTATAGGTTTATCATTTTGTTCGGCGACATCCTTGACAGAATCATTCTTGACTTCATCCACGATAGATGAGTTTGAAGTTTTACCTTCTTTGCTTGAGCTTATCTCGCTATTCTGATCGGCAGTGCCCGCGTCTGCAGCCATTTTGTCACTGTTGTCCAACTATTGAAGGAGGATTTGCGAGATAGGGCTGGTCTTGGCACTGCTTCTTCGAGAGGGGATGCCTTTCTTAAAAACTGTGGAGACAAAACTGCGAGCAAGTGAATAAGTAATCCGACATAAGCAACTGTGCTCAGTTAGGTATAGATTCATGCATGGGTGAGGTACAAAATTACAATCCTAGCCTCAGGTCCGGGCAAAAGCAGACGCGATCCAGTAGAATCTTCCCGCCTACTGCCTGGAGCCTAATCCTGTGCTGAAACACCTGGGAAAGAACAGGGCCTTTGTCGAATGAGAATCTGTTGTCAAAGGACTAATGCAGCTTATAAATACTCAGCCCACATTTCCTTCTTGTCATTTCTGACCTGAGTCCTTTTTGGAAGAGATGAGGCATCCATTCTGAGCGGGGTATCAATATCAGCTTCGGAATTTGTCACGCTCGTCAGCCTCAATTAACTGAGTTGTCAAGACTTTGCGCCCCCCTTAACTTGGAGAAAAGCTACATTATGCATGTCTGCTTAGATGTTAATCCTCTCATTATCAGCGCGCAAAGATCATATCCCGTAGCCCATCATGAGTTACCGGCGGCCTTTAGATGTGGGACAGGGGATGAGGGATGTAATGAGTAATGATCGTGAGATCCAAGTGATGAAAGACTGGAGACAAAATGAGGGCGCAGCTGTTCACCAGGGATTGGCCTCGCCAACTGAGTATAATAATCAGCGCGCAGAATGGAGGATCCCTATCAGCCGGTAATTTCTTCTATTATTTCCCCAATTCCGGTGGATCTTGTGACCCTGGTTTTCTGATTTGACCATAGCAAGTTAGAGGACTTGTCCGAAGTTATTAAATCTTTCCAAGTTGACGATTCAACGGCAACCCCTCAGAACGTTAGCTGGAGAGGCGTTTTCGACTGTATTGAAGAAGCGAAAAAGACATATGAGAAAAAAGCTGAAGATAACCGCTTTAGAGGATGGATACGGAAAGGCGACGTAGCCCTCGGCATTTTAGAGAGGCTTTCTGACTCCATTCCCGATCAAGACGGCCTCAGCATTCTCAGGACAGGTTTGGCGTTTATCTTCCAAGTAAGCTACCGCCGGTATAAAGGCAATGCATCATCTTCTAACTGTCAAGCAGTCCTTTCAAAAAAGACTTTCCAATGTGGGGAATATCCTGCAAGAACTTGACGATGTTCCTGGTGTTTTAGCCAGTGTCTACCAGATAAGTGACGCATATCGCGGCGAAGTACGGCTAAAAAACTTGATTTGGGACTTTTATGGAACATTGGTAGACTGTCTTTTAGATCTTTTGAATATTTTGAACCGCAACTATAAAGACGTCAATGGTAAGTGTCACATCCACTGGGGCACAGATATGCGCAGATAATTTGCTCTGACATACACACTAGTCTTCAAGAAAGTTCTCAAACAAATCCCTGAAGTAGAAGCAGCAAAGATCGGTGACATATCGAAAAGGATCTTCAAGGCAAAACAAACAGTCTTTGAAGCCACAGCTCATTTAGATCGAAATGTATGGCAAGATACTAGAGTCTCGGCACAGCAAGGGCGTATTGCGGCCGAGGCCACACGAAAAACAGCTCATGATATTAAAATCAAGGTTGTGGAGCTGCAGAAAGAGACCAGCGAAGGCCGTGATAGACTGTCTTCCCAGGTGGACCAGTTTCGCTCACAGATGATTGATGCTGCCAATGGAATGACCTATGAGATGGCGCAAACAAGGAAGCGACTCACTAAAGACGGAGAAGAGAGAAAGGAATTCGAGGCTGGGCTGCAGAGACTGGTCGAAGCTTTGCCCTCATCAATTCATGAGCAACTGCAGAGCGCATTGTACCAGTTTGTAGCTGATGCTATCGTCCAGCGAAGTAAGTATACTGATTTCCCCTATTGAACAGCATAATGAAAGCTAACTCGAAGCTGAATAGGTCTGTTTGCGCTGCCATCAAATTCCCTTGTTCCCAATCCAACACCACAACAAACTATTCAGCACATGCCCGCCTTAACCGAGAACGATATCGTTAACTTGCTTCAGACGCCCGATCCAATCGCAGATGCGGAGCGTATTCTCCGCAAAGAAAGTTTGATGAGTGATGAGGCACTAGGATATGCCACACTCCTAAGACAAAAGCGACAGTTTCAGGAGTGGCTATCATCTGAATGGCCTGGCCTAGTGCTGGTTGATGGTTGGTGTCGTACCGAAAGCGTTGGACGATCATCTCCAATGTCTTTCTTCACAGCTTCTTTTGCTTCTACTCTCCTCCAGACTCAAAGTGGCATGGTATTGCAATTCTTTTGCAGCAATCATACTGACCCTCAAAAAGAGGGCTCCGGTCCCAAAGGACTCTTGCAGAGCATAATTTCCCAATTGCTTCTGTATCCAAAACCCTATAGCGTCTCTCTGGATTTTGTTGATCAAAGCCTGTATGATGCCATAGCAGCCAGTAACACTGATGCGCTTTGCTTCATGTTTGAACGACTATTCTGGCAAATACAACCAACTACAACGATCTACATCCTTTTGGATAGTATTTCGGATTTTGAATCCAATCTCCACGACTACGGAGACAGAATGGAGCGGGTGTTGGCTTCTTTCCAAGGGCTAATCAGACCAGTTCTCCGAGGATACGCTCTTGGACCAAAGCTGAAGCTTTTTATGACAAGCCCTAATAGGAGCCATCGGCTAGTCCACCATGTTGATCGGGCCAAAGAAAATATTAGACTTAATGCGGCAGGCCTAGGTAATGGCCTGGGTGGTAACGACAGATTGTTAAGAGAACCACGACGAGCAAGGTCACCGCTGCCGCTTGGTTATTAGCTGTATAGGTCTCAATCAAGTAGATGCAGACAACTGTAGACTACAGTATCTCTCTCTGTCTCTTTCTCTCTCTCTCTTCTGCTTGTCGTGGTTGTTTGGGAACTTACGCAATTAAGGCCGGGAATCTAACGACATGTTCTGAATACCTCACAATTCCGTCGCACGATAATCGAAGGCAGTGACGAATTTGTATCACTTATAAATCTTGCTTTAAAGTTTCAAGCTTATATATTATTTTTGTATTGTTTCTCTCATCCATGCCGTCTCAGCATGGTGGTGGATGTTGAGCCTATTGAGCATGTCTCTAAGCTTTATGCTGTAATTCTACACCCTATAACCGTGCTGTTAAGCCCTTGTGAAAAGAAAACATGCCGCGCATCACGTGCTAATGCATAGGGAGGGTTGTACATTTTAAAGAGCGTTGCTCGTGCTCGACGATCTTATTTGTTCGGGTCGGCTTCCTTGAACTCATGATACATGTAGTTTCCTTGTGAATGATGACCCTGGTCACGGGCTAAAGTATATTCTCAGTGTCCGGGTGAGATAGTGGACGATGACAAGACAGTGCGAAGTTATCCAGGCCACATGCGCATTTCACGCTTTGAAGGTCAGGGTCAGCTGTTAAGCGCGCAAGATAGATACACGGTCCTCGAAATCCCCCAAAACATGCTGATGAAGTTTTCTTATTCGGCAGGTTTCATTGTTTACGGTATCCATTTACTTGATCAGGATCTCCTTCGGCATACTTCAGAGTTTTATGATTCAGCTGCCGTTGCACTTCGCATGGTCTCTAGCGGCGACCAATTGGGTTGCATTGCATTCAGACCTGCCTTAAACAGCCATGAATCCGCTAGCCAATGTTCCTTCAAATCTGCTCCAAGTCTGGGCACTTAAAGCTCCTCGTAAAGTTTGCATTAGTTTGAGAATATCATTGGCGTCTCCTTTCCCCTTGAACTACTGTTATTGATCTAGTCTCGTCCGCGTGCAATTTTTCCTGGCCTATCAAGTACATCCGTGACCATTTGAGAATACCGAGGCTTCTATTGTTGGGTTTCATTCAAATCAATGCGCCTACAATCTGGTGACCAATAGCGCTAGAAACCCTACATGTACTAACATTTGGATTACCCTCACTCACTGCAGTTCTTTTCACGAGCCGTTGAAACCATGTGGCCAGGCAGAGTAGCTCTGTGGACCGGGGCAACGATTTGCCCAGGGAGACGGAACGAATAGCTCTACATAAAGTAGCAGCGCATGTCTTCGCCCTAGAGACTTTTCTTTGTTCTTTGTATACTCACCCTTCTTCGTACGCTCGGCTTGGATATCTCGCCCTGCAGCTGGCCATCCCTTCCTCAGCATACAAGTTCTACTACCAATTAATTGACCGCCCGATTATTTCATTTACACGACTGTGGGAATTAAAAAACGACGCATATTAAACCAGTGCTTATAGCGTAATCCGATCCTACGGGTAGAAAGGGAAATCGCTAGGAATTGTCGCGCAACCTGTTCAGCTCCTCCATTTATTATCACCGGATATTGGCGCATTCAGGAACAACAAGTGAGCGCAAAGTCTGGATACAAAACGACCTAATGAGGTACAACCCTCTCTTGGCCGCGATTAGCCTAGGGTGGCTCTTTGCGGTTGCCGTCAATGGGCTTTGCAATCCTCAGGATGTCACTTACAGCAATGAAATGCCACCCAATGGGACGTATATGCCATGGAGTCTGATCGGAGCGATTAACAGCGTTCCCGGCTCACGGCAGTACATCACTATTGTTAACCTGACGCCTCATCGATTTGTCCTGCAGAACACACACTCATACCAGATGGATGTGTTTGATTGGGGCGATGTTCCGCAAGGCCATGCGCGGCAGAACACTGTCGTCTATACTAACAAACCTGGGAAGACGGCTGTGGATGACGGTGGTGAAGCGTATTATGCCATCGACGGAACTGACAAAACCTTCTTCGTTCGAGCTACAACACATATCCCCGATTCACATCCTGCACGGACTGTAATTGATCTCACGGGCATGGGCCAAGGTCAACGCGAATATTTGGATCCCGCCAACCAATCTCCAGTGACGCTGGTTATCACAGGAAGCGATAGCTACGGTTTCATTACATCTATTAGATATGGTGCTGGAAACTGGATGAAGAGCATCTACGAAGTCATCAAAGACAGGCAGATCCAGCACGTCGTCATGCCGGGGACTCATGATGCTGGAATGAGCACCATCAGCGGTCAGATTCTTGGAGGAGGTATCAGCGAGAATACACAAACCCAGGGCCTTAACATCTACTATCAACTCTCTGCAGGCTCTCGTTATTTTGATCTACGTGTCGGATCAGTGCACTCTGTCACAGACAATTCCGAATACAGCTTTTGGACCTTGCATGTCAATGACGAAACGGCTGAAGTTGCGTTGGGCAATTCTGGCGAGTCCCTCGACAGTGTTATTAGCGAGATCAACCAATTCACTGCTGAGAATCCTGGAGAGGTCATTTTCTTTCATGTAAGGTACCTAATCGGTATTCGAGAGGTGCCTAGCCTGGGACCCATTTACTGGACGACTCCGATGGTAAATGATTTCTTCGGTAAGCTTAAAGGCGTCAACAACCGTTGTGGCAACTTGGACACTAGCACCACTTTCAATCAAAAGCCAGCATCTTATTTCATGGACCAGAACGGAGGAAACGGCTGCGTGATATTTCTTCTCGCGGGGGACTTGCAGCCAAGCGTGCCCCAAGACTCGGTTGCGGATGGCATCTACCAGGCCAATAGACTTTCAATAGCAGATGATTGGTCTGATTTGGGTGACACCAAGCCCATGGCGGAAGACCAAGCATCTGACTGGAAGCAAGTGATTCGAGGCGGCAGTTCTGACACGTTTCACATAAGTCAATGGCTTGTGAGCGCAGACATAGTTACCACGACTCTGTTTACTATTGAAGGCATTGGGATTCTACCCACTAATCCGGCACTCTACTGGATGGGCGTTAACAACATGACTCCCCAGAGCTGGCCGACTGTCATCCTAACTGATTACATTGGCGTTGTTGTCAAAGGCCAGCATAGCTGGGAACAGCTGAGCGCGGACATTTACACGTTGGCCATTGGCTTGAACCTATATCTGATCAGTGAGAACTGTGATGTGAGCACGATATCTTCACCGCTGCTGCGAAAAGCGAATTCGGGGCTCAAAATGGCTACCTTATCAAAACCCTGGAATGGCATCCATTATGCAAATGGCACGATAATCGACAACCCGTCACGTCATTTACATCCTGGCCGTGTCGAGGTATTGAGGAAAGGCACCCGATTTCTCAATGGCACAGTACTGGGAGAAGATATCATCAATCCTTATTTCAATTCCACAGCCATGTAATAGGTTGTACCAGAGCCTTTGTACAGACCATTGGCGCATAAGTGGAGATGTAACTTAACTTGAGATACACTACAAATTTCGTTGCATGTGAGGAATCTCTAGCTTATTTACAAATAAAAGAATATGAGATGACTTCATTTATTAGTTTAATGTCTAAAGGTGTAAGCATGTCTGTTTAACAGAACAACACCAGTGGTAGCCTTAAAAGCACTTGGGAGACACAACTCATACTCCTAGATGCGCGGCAGAGAAACTTTCACAAAGGCCACACACAACAAGGGAAGAACAATGAGATTTTAAGTCATCGGCATTACTACAGTGGTTCAGCCGTTAAATGTGGCCCCTATAGAATATTATACACATATCATCTTTTGTCATCAAGAGAACGACCTTCATATCCAACCAAATACAACTAAGTACAAAATCTTTTTTTTAACTTGTTTGCTTTTTTTTTTTTTTCATTTGCAACATACTCCATTTCATTTTGAAGAACAAGCCATTGCTATCTCTTATTAAGTAAAAAGTCAATACCCCCTTAGGGTATCACCTCTTAAACTCAAGAAGGGTAGTTCATCTTGCAGGTCTTCTTGCTGCTATCCCAAGTCGATCCGTATGGGCACGCGCACTTGTTGCCATTCCAGTACTGATTGCCTGGGCAGCTGCAAGTCTTGGATTTGCTGTCGAAAACTTGTCCTTGCTTGTTGCACACACACTGCTTCTGGTTGCTGTCATAGTGGGCGTCTTTGCCGCAATCTGGCACGCAGGCGTAGCCGTTCCAAGAAGTTCCAGACGGGCAACTGCAAGTCATGGATTTACTATCGTAGACCTGGCCCTGGTTCTTGCACACGCACTTGTTCTGCTTGCTGTCGTAACTGGCATCTTTTCCGCAGTTGGGTACGCATTGTTTTCCGTCCCAGATCTTTCCGTAGGGGCACGCGCACTTGGATCCGTCCCAATACTGACCATCAGGGCAGCTGCAGGTCTTGGACTTGCTATCATAGACTTCTCCTTGCTTGTTGCATACGCACTTCTTCTGGTTGCTGTCGAAGTGGGCGTCTTTGCCGCAGTTAGGAACACACTGCTTGCCATTCCAGATCTGGCCATACGGGCAAGCACATTGCTTTCCATTCCAGACCTGGCCGTCAGGGCAGCTACAGGTTTTGGACTTGCTATCATAGACTTGTCCTTGCTTGTTGCATACGCATTTCTTTTGGTTGTTGTCGAAGTGGGCATCTTTGCCGCAGTCAGGAACACACTGCTTGCCATTCCAGATCTGGCCATACGGGCAAGCACACTGCTTTCCGTTCCAAACCTGGCCGTCGGGGCAGCTACAGGTTTTGGACTTGCTATCATAGACTTGTCCTTGCTTGTTGCATACGCATTTCTTTTGGTTGTTGTCGAAGTGGGCATCTTTGCCGCAGTCAGGAACACACTGCTTGCCATTCCAGATCTGGCCATACGGGCAAGCACACTGCTTTCCGTTCCAAACCTGGCCGTCGGGGCAGCTGCAGGTCTTAGACTTGCTGTCATAGACTTGTCCTTGCTTGTTGCATACGCATTTCTTTTGGTTGCTGTCGAAATGAGCGTCTTTGCCGCAGTCAGGAACACACTGCTTGCCGTTCCAGATTGTTCCGTAGGGGCAGACACATTGCTTGCCATTCCAGAATTGGCCGTCAGGGCAGCTGCACGTCTTGGTTTTGGAATCGTAGATCTCGCCCTTGTTCTTGCAAACACACTTCTTCTGGTTGTAATCAAATGTAGCCTCTTTGCCGCAGTCGGGGACACACTGCTTGCCGTTCCAAACCTGGCCGTATGGGCAAACACACTGCTTTCCATTCCAAACCTGGCCGTCGGGACAGCTACAAGTCTTGGTCTTTGAGTTGTAGATCTCGCCATTATTATTGCACACGCATTTCTTCTGATTATAATCGAAATGGGCTTCCTTTCCGCAATCCGGAACACATTGCTTGCCATTCCAGACTTGGCCGTATGGGCAGACACATTGCTTTCCATTCCAGTATTGACCATCTGGACAGCTGCAAGTCTTGGTCTTCGAGTTGTAGATCTCGCCCTTGTTCTTGCAAACACACTTCTTCTGGTTGTAATCATATGTGGCATCTTTGCCGCAGTCGGGGACACACTGCTTGCCATTCCAGACTTGACCATACGGGCAGACACATTGCTTTCCATTCCAGTACTGTCCGCCAGGACAACTGCAAGTCTTGGTCTTTGAGTTGTAGACTTGACCGTTTTTGTTGCACACACACTTCTTTTGGTTATTATCAAAGTGAGCTTCCTTGCCACAGTCTACTACACACTGTTTGCCGTTCCAGACTTGACCGTAAGGACAAGCACACTGCTTGCCGTTCCAGTACTGTCCGCCAGGACAACTGCAAGTCTTGCTGCCGGAGTTGTACACTTCGCCCTTGTTGTTGCACACGCACTTCTTTTGATTATTATCGAAGTGCGCCTCTTTGCCGCAGTCAACAACACATCCATAGCCGTTCCAAACAGTTCCAGAAGGGCAGCTGCAAGTTTTGGAGTTGGAATTGTAGACTTGGCCGTTTTTCTTGCACACGCATTTCTTCTGTTTGTAGTCGTACGAAGCATCTTTTCCACAGTCCACCTGGCAGCTCTTGCCGTTCCAGTACTGTCCTGGTGGGCAGCTGCAAGTCTTGGTCTTGGGGTTGTAGATTTCGCCGTTATTCTTGCAAACACATTTTCCATACTGCCAAGTAGCATCTTTCCCGCAGTCATGAACGCACTGGTGGCCATCCCAAGTCAAGCCACTAGGGCAGTTGCATGACTTGTTATTGGAGTCGTAATTCTTGCCATTGTCTTTGCAAACACAGCAATTCTTTCCGTTGTTCCAGGTAGCATAAGAGCCGCAATCGTGGCTGTTGGTACGAGCAACGAGATTATCTTCGACATCCCTAGCCTCCACGTCATGGAGGTGATTCGGATTCGGGAAAGCCGTGACAGAGCTCAAAGAGAGCAAAGCGGCCACAAGGACCTGCTTCAGTAGCATGATGGGCAACTATCAAGGATCTGGGACAATGGGATTCAACGAAAGATATGGTCTCTATTGGCAACTGATAACCCAGGAGAGGGAATCAGTGTCTAGACCCCGGAAGTTTAGACAGAAGATGAGTTGATGGAAAAGAAAAGAAGGTTGTGATCTAGACGAGATGAGAGTTTATATATCTCTTCACCCTCTATGAGGTGAGACACAGCCTTCTTAGGGAAGGAGAAAATACGGCCTAACGTCTATCAAAAAGAGGAAGTTGGGCTGGAACTCCTCTCTGTCTAAGATTCAGCCGCATCCATATTCGATCAAGCGGCCACAATCAGCCATGAGCTGGCCCAAGGGCGGTGATCAAGAAATTAGGAGCCTAAAGCTCGGCCATTCACAGCCTGTATAACAAAACATGCATTTCAGCAGCATCAATAGATTCAGCCAAGCACTGTACGTCGCATCCATTCGGATCGTCGCTCAGCCCATGGCTTTAGCTTTTTGCTAGAGTGACTACATAGCATCGGCATAGCGCTGAGCAATACGAGACCTCACTTTGTCGTCATTGGACGGCTGGAAACGCCCAAATGCAAGGGAATACGAGATGATTAACCTTATTACGAAGGCTATTGGGGAAAACAAAGGACAGCAAAGGGATGTCATCCCTGCACGTTTTACGGCTTATCCCATCCATTACTCCTGCATTCTATCGTGGCTTCGCCCAAGCCGCAGTCTTTGACTGCCTCTTATATCATCTACAGCACAGCATCTTGATACTTCACGAAGTATTGAAATGGTGGTGACCATCTTCGTCTGAGTTCAGCGAGGAGCGGGCCCACAACTGGTCCGAAAAGGTGAAATGGCTGCTGGACCAGCCCAGTTTAATGAGACCAAAGTGGTTGGGATGGGAATCTTGGCTCAATTGAATTTCAACGGATCAGCGGCTGGCTATCAATGGTTACTGGACCAAGACTGGAGCTAGATGCCGATGGGTGAGTGGCAACCAGTAGCTACTTTTGCTACTGCAGGTAGTTGAGGTAGTCCTATCTCAATCCCATGATGGGAAAATTCTCTCCCTGAGGTCAGTTCGGGGGCCGAGACACATCTCCGAAAATAACAACCTGGTCTCCCTTGCAGGGCCTAGCATCTCGTGATGAAAGGGAGCCAGCTACCGCATCGTGTGTTTCTATCGTTTTACCATTTACATTGTTCAACCCGATTTCAATTACCATATCAGTTCGTCATTGACAGCGATCTCTTTCTGTCAAACCCCAGCTCGGCTAAATAATGCCTGTCGGTTGACACATGGCAGCAAGTGCGCGGAAGCAAATGAATACAAAGACCAATGACTGGACCTTGCTTTCCCCGCGGCCCCTTTTTCCGGGCCAGGGGATGGTGGAGATGCCTGAACTTGGACGTGGAGAGCCCGACTTCCGAAGCTGCCGCAGAATTACGATCGGAAGGACGGCTAGTGAGGGGAATTAGACTTCAGGTTGCTGGCTGCTTGGATGTATACGGCTAGAGCCAGCGAGGAGCTTTGACACAGTGCATTTCATTCCGAATTCGTATGGGAAGCTGCATGTGCTACTGCACTCGAGTAACGCAAGGGGGGTCGGATTGCTACAGCTAAATACCCCAATCTATCTGATTGGAGAAGCAGCGGCCAGCAAAGACATGCATAACTTAGACAAATGCAGTCATACCAAGCTGAATCTGCCGTGGCCCAGTGATTTGGAGCCAACCTGGAAATACGGGCTGTTGCACGCACTGTGTCAGCTTCACCTGATTTTCAAGGGGACATCATACGAGCTATGGATGAGAATACGGACGCAGCATATGCAGCCAAACGTGAACTATTCCCCAGTTGTGCGGGTCAACCAATTCATCCGCTTCTCAAGCCATTGGGGGCTAATTCCCATCCTGCGGTCAACCAGGCACCGAATCACAGACCGAAGACCCTCTCTGCTCGACGGCAACGGATGCCCGGCCAAGACTTGGCACATCTACGGCGTTACACACCGAAGTCTCGCATTCATGCTGGGTGCACACATGGCTATACGGGCGTTATTTGTGGGGGAATCATTGTTTGCTTTAACCGTCCATGTGATGCTTAATAACCTAAAAAAGGAAAAACAAAACCTTGACCCAACTTGGCTTGTGCTTGGCTTGGGCTTGGCTTGGGCTTGGCTTGTGCTTGGCTTGTACTTGGCTTGTTCTTGGCTTGTTCTTAGCCCAATAAGTGCCGCTGTGGGGAAGAAGAAGACTTGAAATGGAGGGAAGCACGGGGGACGACTGAGTTCAGCCGCAACTGTTCCAGCACACCACCATGACGTCGGCCTACATGAGTTGTTCCCGGATGAGTTGCTCCATGATTCAACTGCGTTGTGGCTTCGTAGCGTGGCCCGAATCAACCAGGATCGAGCAGCTCCCTTCGATCTCGATTGGCCTTGTCACTGGGGCCGTCTTCTAAACTTAGACAGCCAAGCCTGCTAAACTCTCCTAGAGGCTAGTGGCCAAAATATCCCGGGGATCCTTCAGAGCTCTTGACCCCGTCTACCGTTTCTTTTTTTGGTATCTCTTTGTTCTAGGCCGCAGCATGAAAAGGGTTGGATGGGGCCCGAAACTCCTGTCGATCAATCATGGCAAAAACATTTGATAATGCCAAGCCCAATTAACCGGTGAGGCGTCTTTGGCCCATCAATCACATTCTCTCATCGCCAACAACAAGTCAAAAGCTCTCATGAAGGTTTGGTCAGAAAGATCCATCTCATTATCGACTCTAGCCCCTCGGTGCACATTTTGGGTTTGGCAAAGTTTGTGTCAGCCGATGATCCTACCTCTTTTACCTAAACAAGATGAGAGAGGGCTTAGAGAGTGTGCCTAGACTACTGCATCTCTCCGTAGATACTTTGGCCCATCAAAGATGCTTCTGTCACAATTCAGGGGTTATGTTTTATTCAAAGCAATAAATGAGCTATTATTCAGGAACTAGATCGATAAAGTAGACGCGATGCCTGCAGGCCTCAGTTGATCAACAGACCATGAAAAGCTAGGCAACCAGCATCGAATCAAGAAAAGGCTATGCTTAATAGGTTAAAAGGGCTTTCAGAATTTGCACTAGCAACCCGCATCTGTTGTCCCTGCCTGCCAGGGCGAATCTATTGCCTGACTTTCTTGGGCCGGCTATCCCGGCTTCCGACATGTTCTGTCCGTTCATCCCAGTCATCGGAAACTCCTGATCCATACTCACTACCAAGGTTTATATAGTCATCCTCAATGCGGGTATTTTCATCCCCGTGACTGACATCATACCAGTCCCTCGCCATTTGCTTTTCCGCCTCGGAATCCTTCGTGTTCATCTTGGTGGTGTATGGACTGTCTCCCTTCTCGTCATCCGAGCTCAGCGGCACATCATGCCAAGGCCCGTCCACAACCAAAAAACTGCAGCCCTGGCTTTCCACTTTGTGGCACGCATTGTCTGTAAGCTTTGAGGCGCATTTGGATTTGCCATTAGCTTCTGGTAGAACGAAGTCGTCGCCATTTCGATCCACGCCAGATTCTCTAGGATTTTGTTGGGGATTTGGACCGCAAAGGCATCTCTCAATCTTGTGCTTTTCTGTATCAATTCCTTTTTCCGAAAAATTCGCGGGAGGACCGGTCGAATTGTCGGCTTTCTCTGTCATCGGCTGCATTTTGAAGCTGCTAACTGATGGCCTCCGCTCAATGACGTCTTTAATAACGGAGCCGGATATAACAACCTCCTTGTGAAACCCAATTCTGGCTAACCTAGCAGTCAAAAGTTTTCGAACCGATAAGTCGATGTCGTAGGAGTAATAGTAGTGTAATTGACTCAATGAATGTCCGAATACTGATTTGGTGTGAGCACAATTGGCACAAGAGTTCCGTAGGAAGTAGACGGCGAGATAATTCTCCAACGTTTCATTAGAAGACATGAGAGTCGAGATTTCAGTCATTAATTCTGAGCTTTAAGCTTCCATAATATAGGTCCCAGCATTTCCATCTCATAGAGAGATACCCAGTCGTTCCGTAGCTGTTCACTGCTGTTGAGCTTTCAGAGAAATCACAAAAACACAGGATGTAATGTTCGATTGTGAATTAAATTGTTCAGCACTACCAAGTCACTTCTACTAGTCACAGGATTTGAACATATGAAATTTGAACTACAGAAAATGAAATCGATGAACAATACAATGATTTTAATAGCGCATACATTTCGTTAAAGAAATGCGGCGGGCAAGTGTATTCATTGTGAAGCTTTTGTTAACAGTCAATTACGCCCTCCGTTAGGCAGTGTATAAAGAATTTTGAACGTAAATGCCTGATGCGGCGATACTATCAACTTTTGAAAATGAACTGTAACCTTTATTTACCAAACTTTGTACTATGCAGTGCAAATATGTCCCTTTCCTTCTCGCGGAGCGCAGGATTAATTTCGCCTGTAGCTTTTGCACAGCTTGTGCAGGGTTAGAATATCTCCACATTGTTTATGAATTTCTACCCCGACTCAATGGGTATCACCATGAGCGAGATTGAGGCTGTCTCTGCTTGGATGGAGGAGAAGAGGCTGTTGCCCGAGAACACCAGACTGAGAAAGACCGTTATAAAACAGCCTATGACCTCTTCTGAACCCATTTACACCCATCCGATTATGAATATTAAATAAACTGCATCCATCTTCAGTCAATGGCTTTGCAATCATCGATCATGTTGATTGGCTATCACTCAATCTGAACCAACAAGACTACCATGTTCAATACCTAAGATAGCCTAGGAATGGACACCATTGAATCATCTGCAACACAGAACTGTGAAACTAAATGATAAATTGCTTGACTTCAAAGGTTCAAGACGTCTAATTTTGTGCAAACTTAGACTTGGCACGGAGACTCTTGCCATACTTGTACATGAGTAATGTTCCAATTATACCAATTATGCTCAGTCCAGCAAGGACTGTAACGCCCTTGTGAACACCAAGATTGATGAACATTGGCCTGGCAGCAAGAATACATCCAGTAGCAACAGCAGATCTGATCAAATCATTACCCGTAAAAATCGATGCCGCGTACTGTGGGTATGAAACTGGAACATACATGAAGAGACCCTGAATAACCATATATTGGCCGAGAACAAAGATTGCTACGCCAATCAATGGAACAATCCAGTGAATGCTTGCTCTTGCAGTCCAGGCAAATATGAACAGTCCAACTGGAAGAACAAAGGAGCCGAAAATTGCGGGCAGCAAGCGATGCTCCTGCTCTCGAAATCCATTCCTGATATTGTCTGGAATCATGTAGAGATGGAGATAGGCAAAGTATAGAATAAGAGCGAGAATCGAGCCAACTTCGCAAGCCAGAAAAGCAAGGCCAGTCTGGCCAAGATTAAACCCGTAGAAAGGCGGGAACACAAGGGGGAACACCTCAAAGAAGGTGAAATAAATTGCATAGGTCAAAGCCGTGTACAAATTAACAAAGAAAATTGAAGGGTCCTTAATGGTGATTTCGAATGGCCTGATCAGTGCAGCAATGAGGACGTCGGATCCTGTCATGTGCTTTTGATCAATCTCGCTTTGGGACTGGAGGCGCTCATCGCCAGTGAGCTTTCGAAGTCATTTGGCACGTCTAAGCAGGATGTTAGACGAAGATGTTTCGGGGGTCAGAGCTAGCAGAAATATGGCCATGACTGCACAAATCAACACAATTTCCCAGAGGGGCCACCTCCAGCCTTTTGCCATTGCCGCAAATCCAGCAAATGTTGGCCCAATGGCAGGGCCTGCCCAGAATGACAGCACCCACCAGCCAAGGCCATAGGGGAAATAGAGGACGGTAAAGATATCTCCAATGGAAGCGCCGCCAATAGCAATACCAACGCTGCCAAAGAAGCCAGCAAAGAATCGCACAGCTAAAAGGCCGCCAAAACTGTTGATGGTAGCTGCTGGAAATGACAAAGCAAAGAAGACGATAAATGTAAGATAGTAGACGGGATTTCGACCAATAGCCGGAATCTCGGTAAGGGGGCCAAAGATGAGCGGTCCTACACTATAGGCTAAGACATATAGAGCAAGACCAAGTTCAGATGCCTTATCAGAGGCCATTTACAAAGGAAATGCTTCCTCCTTTATTAAACGCTGATAAAAACGTTTAAGTTTATAACTAATAAACTAATTAATTAATAAAGCTAAATAAAATTATAAATTTATATTATTAAATTAAATAATTGTTTTAAATATAAACTTAATTAATTTAAAAATAATAAATAAAATATTTAATATACTAATAATTATTTATAAAAAAATATAAAATTATATTAAATTTATTATTATAATAAAGATTTTTTCTTTTAAATATAAAAGATAAACTGCTTAAAAGAACTAAAATTAAAATAATTATTATTAAATTTTTAGTTATTAATTATTAATTAATAATTTAATAAATTTATATTTTTTTAATAAATAATTTAAGTTACTCTTTTTTATTTTATTTATTTTTAAGGTTTTAATATACTTTTTTTATTATATTAATTATATTTTTATTATAATAGTTATTATTTTTATTATAATTATAAATAGTTTTTTATTACTTTTAGCTATTTTAATTATTTATATATTAAATTTTTAATTAATTATTAAATTATTTTTTATTATAAAGATTTTTTATTTTTATATTATATTATTTTAATAAGTTTTTTTAAAAAAATATATATAATTTATTTTTAAAAATTATTACTATTTTTTATTATTTAATAAATAATTAACCTTTTTAATTTAATTAAATTATTAAATTATAATTTAAAGTTTTTATATTATATTTAAATTTTATTATTTAAACTTTTTTATATATTTTAAATTTCGTTTTAAACTTTAATAAATAGTTATATTTTTTATATTTTTTTTAATAATATAGTTTAAATCTTTAAAATTTAATTTAATTAACTATTATTAATTAAATTAAATTATAAATTAATTTTAGATTTTAAATTAAAGGCTAAAGTATAGCTTTTTATTAAACTAACTGTTATAACCCAACCTTTTACGAAGCCAGGAAAGTACATACCCCAGAATAAGTCTCAGACCGACCGACTAATTAAGAAAAGATTGCTTATACATAATACCTTTAATAGATTACTACTGTAATCTATTATAATCTAAAAACACTATAATCTATATATAATTTAATAAAGATAATTAAATATATAAGTTTATTTTATTATAATTATTTAAATAGTTTAAATAGCCAGTTATTAATAAAATATTAAGACGGAATATAAATTATATTTTTTATTTTACTTTTATATACTTATAATTATAACCGCTTAAAAGCTACTCCCTATCCTCTTTGCTAATATAAACCTATAACTTAGGTTTATTACTTTAGGAACCCTTACCCTATATTAGGAATAGGGATTAGGACGTTATATTAACTGTTATAATATTAAACTATATATTTTAATATTAAATTTAACTTTTATAATAAAGATTTTATTTAATTATATAATAATATAATTTATATTAAATATTTTAAATAATATAAAAATTATATTAAAAATATTTATAATAAATTAGTTTTATAATTTTATAAAAGTTAACTATTTCTAAAAAATAAATATTTAAATTTTAGGATTATATTAATAAAGTAATTAAATTAATTATAAATATAGTTTTATTAATATAATATAATTAATAAATATAATAGCTAAATTTAATTTAATTATTATATTAATAACTAATTATTTAAGCTATTTAAATAAATATATAATATATAAACTTATATATTTTATTAATGTAACGAACTGATCCTATACATTAGTATAAGTTAGTTATTTCTAAAGGATAACTTTTTTGGTTTTAGGTTTATATTAGCGAAGTAATTAAATTAATTATAAATATAGTTTAATTAATATTATATAATTAATAAATATAATAGCTAAATTTAATTTAATTATTATATTAATAATTAATTATTTAAAATATTTAAATAAATATAAAAAAATATATTTAATTATATATTTAAAAATTAATATAAATTAATATTAATTAATATATTAATTTTATATTTATTTAAAACTGTTTATTTAATAAATTTATTATTATAATTATAAAAATTAAATTATAATATAATATTTTTTTTTATTAATTTTATTTTTAACACTAAACTATTTAATATATAAATATTTATATTTTTTATTTTTTTTAATAAATATTTTTTTTTTAATAAATATTTTTTTTTATAATAATATTTTTATAAAAGTTAAATTTAATATTAAAATAAAAGGTTTAATATTATAATAATTAATTTAATAAAAGGCTATACTTTAGCTTTTAGTTTACAATTTAAAATTAATTTATAACTTAATTTAATTAATAATAATTAATTAAATTAAACTTTAGAAATTTAA